CTCCTCCTCCCACCCCCTCCTCCTGAGGGGCTATTGAGGCAGCAGCCATCATTGCACCCCCTGCTGGCGCTAGCCACAATCGCTCCATGCCATCAGCATGTGCAAGCAGGGCCAGCGTTGTCAGCAGCAGAGGCAGGAGCAGGGCTGCCAACAGACAGGGGACTTGGAGCTGCAGCAGGAGGGGCCGATCAGGGGCATGGAGGATGGGCCGAGATCCATCCCTGTGCCCACTGCAGCCTCATGACCCACAGCTCCTTCCAAGGTGCACGAATTCATGCACTGGGCCCCCACTATATAAATAAAAATCAATGAAAGCAATCAATACAAGAATTGAGGTTTTACAGCCCTGCACGCGCCGCTTCCGGTTGACCAGCACGAACTGATTGATCATGACCTGGTGCTTAAGCTCATCCATGTTCACGGACATGGCGCCACCACCGCCGCGCTGCCCGCTCCTCCGCTTCACGCGTCCACCATTAGCGAGCCGGCTCCGGCTAATACAAATATTTACTGTGCGGCTCTGACTCACCGAGCCTCGCCTGGCTCCGGGGCTGCGGGGGGCATGCTGGGAGATGTAGTCCGCCCGCGCCCGCCCGCGCTCCATCGGGGGCTGTGGACCGAACTGTCCGACGTCGGGCACCTACTGTGTGCAGAGGCGGGCCGTGACGAGAGCTGGGCATCCGCGCCCCTCCCTGGCACTAACGGGGGTCGACAGGTGGAGGCCACAGAGGTCTTTGTCAAAACCCTGGCGAACCCGGGTGTGGTTGGCATCCCTCTGGTGAGTGGGCGCACCCTTTGAGGGAGAGGGTCCTAGCAGGTTTGGCACAAATCAGCAGCACTAAGCCGCGAGGCCCCAGAGATCTGGAAAATAGTAGGCGCCTATATTCGTTCAGAGAATAAATAAACTTGCCCTTTAAAACTCTGCTCAAAATCACCGCCTCCAGGAAGCCTTCCAAATCTCCCCAACACCCCAAGCGCATCACCCCGCACTTGGGAAGCGGGTCCCTCCCTGGCCTGGCGCTCGGCCAGGTACACAGTAGGCCCGAGCAACTTCAGGGGTTAGGTAGGAATGGCACCCTGAATGGCCGGCGAGGCCGGCAGTCTTGGTTGTCTCGGGGTTCCTTCCCTGCGACGCTCCCACTTTCCCACGCAAAATCTGGTGCTCTTTGCCGGAAATCTCGCCTTAACCTGCAGGCGCCAGGACCGCGCGGAGCCAGTTCCGGAAAAGGCCCCGAACTCCTATACCCAGAATGCTCCAGTTTATTTGCAACATACGGTCCCGAGTGACGTCAAGTGAGTGAGGCTCCGTCTCTGCCAATGGGCGACCGCAGGGTGTTAGGACCTGGCCATATAAGGTAAACAAAGCTGGCCGCCCAATGCGGTGGCGTTTGGGGCGGGCCCTGAGGCTGAGCGGACCTATGTGTCACGTGGCGGGCGGGGGCGGGGCTGAAGAGCGCTGGGGTGGGGCGCTGCGAGAAGTGTTTACAGCCCTGCACGCGCCGCTTCCGGTTGACCTCTGGGTTCTACGGTCCTGGGTCCTGGGTTGGGCCAGGGGGGCGGCAAGCTCGGAACCGAGCCGGGACCGGGAGTCGAGAAGCCTCGGGAGGAGGAGTGGCGCGGTCACCGCTCCAAATGACCTTGCCCCGGTTCCTCGCTTCCTAGGCCAGTTTCACTTGTTGGGCCCTGACTCTGTCCCGAACTCCGACGTGACCCGGGTACAGAGAGAGAGCAAACCCTAAAGGGGTCCGCTGGTGGCGGGGCTGGGGTGGGGGCGCGTGTCAGAAACCCCAAGGACAAATGAGTTGCAAGTGTGGGAAGTGCTCTCAGGAAACATACACGTGGTGGGTTAAAGGCCACTGAAGGGTTTTAATAGAGCTGATCCGTTATCCACATTAGAATCACTGGCTGTGGCGGCGTGGCGACCAGATGGTGACAGAGGGCTCGGGGGATGGTCTGGATGTGTTTGGTTCTCGAGCCCGGCCATGCCCAGGGCCTAGTCCGCAGAATTGGATTGAAATAGGGAGAGGGACTGTCTCACACTGGGAGTAGAGACTTGTAGTGCTTTCTCTGCGGTGCTTTTCCTGGATCCCTCAACCCTTCCAGGGGTTGACTTTGGCGAGTGGGAGGAGGATGGGGAGTTGTGAGGGACAGGGAGGGATTCCAGCCCTGCTAGAGTGGGGAGCTTGACCCACTGGCTGAAAGAGGACTCCGTGTCCCCCTCCAGTGGGTGCGTCAGCCCTGGCTGAAGTCACCTGTCCACTGGCCTTTCTTCTGCCTTATAGAGATCATTCAGTCTCCACCATTTTTTTCCAAACCCTGGTGGTGCCAGGAGATTTCTGCTCTTATTAAGAATGGCCTGCCCTAACCGGTTTGGCTCGGTGGATAGAGCGTCAGCCTGCGGACTGAAAGGTTCCAGGTTCGATTCCAGTCAAGGGCATGTACCTTGGTTGCAGGCACATCCCCACTAGGAGGTGTGCAGGAGGCAGCTGATCGATGTTTCTCATTCATCGATGTTTCTAACTCTCTATCCCTCTCTCTTCCTCTCTGTAAAAAATCAATAAAAATGTATTTTAAAAAAAATGGCCTGCCCTAGCCGGTTTGGTTCAGTGGATAGATGTGGGCCCACGGACTGACTGAAGGGTCCTGGGTTTGATTCTGGTAAAGGACACATGCCTTGGTTGCAGGCTCCCCGGCCCTGGTCAGGGTGCCAACCAATCGATGTGTTTCTCTCACATGGTTGTTTCTCTCTGTCTCTCCCTCTCCCTTCCACTGTCTCTAAAAATCAATGGAAAAATATTCTCAGGTGAGGATTAACAACAACAAAAAAGAATGGCTCCTCGAGCCAGTGTCTCTCAGTGGCCGAATGTCTACCATGAAGCAAGAGTTGACTGTCTCCATTTCCAGTAGGGGACCTGCAGTCGATGTCTAGCATCATAAACATGAATTAATGTGGGCAAAGTACCCGGTACAGGATAGGCAGCTCTGAGTGTAGGTACTGTTACCACTGGGCCAGCAACAGGGCATGGTGGAAGGTGAACAAGTTCCGGAGCCAGACAAACCTGGTTGCCAGTCCTGACACTGCCACTTAATGACTCTGATGTTGGGCAAGTTCAGTTTCTTCATTTGTAAAACTGAAGGTGAGAGCCAGGGGCTCTCCCAGGACTGCTATGGAGTAATGCCAGGGAGGAGCTCAACATGGGCCTGGCATTCAGCGAACCATTTCTAGTACTCACCTCTTTGCCTCTGTCTAGTGAGTCCAAGCCCATTTTACAGATAAGGAAACTGAGGCTGGAATCCAGGACTTCTGACACTTTTTCCAGTGTTCAGGGCCCTTGAAGAAGAGCAGGCATGCAGTGAGCCAGCAGGATGTGTTTCTGGCAAGGGAGGGTGAGTGTTGGCAGGGCCTACTGGGGGCTTTTCTTGCTGAGGGAGGCAGGAAGTACCTTCCCCCACCCTCATCCAGGCACCGCTCAGGTACCTGCACAGGCTTGTCCAGCCCAGACTGGGGTGGGGTAGGTGGGGCTGGCAAGAGCAAAGGTCACCCCTCGGGCCCCCACAGTCCTCCAGCTGGCTTGTTTTCCAGGAGCAGCAGAGAAGTAAAAAACCTTGTTTTCAGGCAGGATCAGCCTGGCTAGAAAGTGGACTTTGGCTTTTTTAGCAGGCTCAGATGGGGCCTGCCAGCTGAGGCTAGTAGATGGGGGATGAGAAAGTAAAATGCATTTCAGGTAGTGCCCTCATCTTTTCTGAGGTCCAGAGAGGGGAGGGCCTTGCCACACTTGGCATAGCCAGTTCACAGAGGTGCAGGGTCCCGGCCTTCTCAGCATCCCTTGGCCTCCTCCTCCCCACCTCCATTCTTT